AAGGCAACCTTCTGATCTCTCCACATCCTGAATGATTCATCTAAAGCTGATCCAGAATTTTCACTCTAAATAACTGTACATTTTTGTCCCTAATAACTTATAGATAAGCCAGTAGCTTAAATAACATCTTTAAAAGTCTTATACAAAACCTCCCCTTCTGGTCATGAAGGAGTAATAAGGACTGACAGTACCCTTCCCAAAATCTCAAGCTGTACAAAATATATGAAACAACTGTTTTCAGACATTGGACATTAGGCCGTGCAGGACTGTAATCCCAGAAAGAAGAGAAGCAAGGAGAGTCCTATCATCACCTGAAAGCAATTACTGGATGGCATGTACCAGAAGAGAAACCCAAACAGAGCCTGACAGTCTCAAAGACTTGAGGAGATGAAGATATCTGGGGAAGCTGAGATGGTTAAGAGCTGTTACAGAGAACTCTTAAGAGTCAGTAAGAAAATAAGCAACAAATAAAAAAATTTTTTTAAAAAACGGCAAAAGATTTGAACAGATACTGTACCAAAGAAGACATACAGATGGGCTATAAGCACATGAAAAGATGCTCAAAAGACACAAATTACCAAAATCAGTAATCAAAGGAGAGATACCGCTACAAATCTAACAAAAATTTAAAAGATTGTAAGAGTAAACAAATTTATGCCAACAAATTAGACAACAGCTACATCTTAAAGGGAACAGGAATGGCACCAAGACATTTCTGAGCTACATTTTCATGAAGAGAAAGCAATTCTTGAAACTGAAAATAAATTGAAACAAATAAATTCAACTGTATATTGAATCGGTAACAGAGAATATTATTTCAAGTGACTCTAAGGCACAGTATTTTGACTGTGTATCCTTAGTGGGGTTTAATATAGGTCTAAAAGAATTTCAAGGAAATCTCAAGCTTTTTAGAGTTATTGTTCATAATGCTATTAATATTGTTATTCTGAAACTATTTTATGTATAGTGAAGGTTAGAGCTAATATGCAATTTTGTTGATACTGTTATGAACTAAGATTTCCAGGGTATGAGCAAAGAAACAGAAGTTTAATATCAGAGAAATAGCAATATGAACTCAAAATTTTTTTAAGCCTGTATTTCCTAGTACTATTACTGGAAGAGGAGCCATGGTGGCACAGTAGTTAAGCACTCGGTTGCTAACCGAAAGGTCTGCGGTTTAAACCTCCCACCTGCTCCATGCCAGAAAGATGTAGCAGTCTGCTTCCGTAAAGATTACAGCCTTGGAAACCCTATGGGGCAATTCTACTGTCCTATAGGGTC